ATGAGGGTTAGGTTGTTGTAAAATAGGAGGAGGAAAGACTATTATATATGTCTGCTACTTTGAGTTACTTCTAGAGTAGAACTTTCAAACTCCCGGCCCATGGGCTGGATGTGCCATGCACTGGCTATGCCCATGTCCAGTTTAGCGAAGGGGGAAAAAGTCCCGATACGTCACGTGACTCCGCTGAGATGGTGTGAATTTGACACCCCTGTTCTAGAGTAATAAAGGCACGATGAACAACTGTATAAAGTACTTTAATAGGTAAATTTACATTTGTCACTTATAACTGCTATAAAGACAATTGAAACCTACTTCTGTCTATATTTTTTCTTTCCTTCTTGCACTCTTGTCTTTTTTATTAGTTCTTGCTAGTTTTTGATTTTTAAAAACTTTATTAAAGCTACACACACAGACATCACACAACTAGTGAACTAGTTAAAGAAACCAAGCTTCAGAGGCTGCACAGTCATTCTTAAGGGCCTTCCAGAAGGCCCATTCTTCAAAATCTCCTGGAACACAACTGAGGAGAACAACATAGCTTCCAGAGAAATGGTGATAAAAAAACCACCTTTCTTTGTACCCCTTCTCTTATGAACCTGGTATATCATAAGCAATGTTTCCCAAGGAATAAAACGTAGAACATCTGTGGGCTGTTTTGTCATAATAGTCCTATTAAGACTAAGGAAAAAATACAATAATGTACCGGCACATTAGTGCAACGATAACACTGGGTCCCATAATGTCATGTGATAATCTAAACCAGAGATTCCCAATTGGTGGTAAAGAGGGGACTCAGCAGCAGTATAAATGGGACCCATGAAAAACATTTTAAAATAATAAATTACAAATAGAATATCTTTCAGCATAATATCCTTTTCAGAAAAAAATACAACCTTGTACTTCTGAGGGAGCCAGTTTGGTGTAGTGGTTAAGCCATTAAGACATCAAGTTACAAATCCAGAGCTTTAGTCCAGCCCTAGGCAGCAAGCCAGCTGGGTGACTTTGGACCAGCCACTCCCTCTCAGCCCTAGGAAGTAGGCAATGGCAAAATCCCTTCTCAAATCTTGCTAAGAAAATTGTAGTCTTGTCCAGGCGGTCACCAGGAGTCAACACTGACTTGAAGGCACACGTGTCGTGCACCCACAAACCTCTGAACGAAAGAGAAGAGTAAATAGCCAAATAGGTTTTTGTTTCTAACAGTGGGGTCCAACTTCTTAAATCAGCAGGATCTGCACAGTGTTAAACCTGCTCTTGCCACAGCCTGCACAGGTAAGGCATGAAGTGGACCTAGCATATCATTCATTGCCTTTGAGTCCCCAACACACCTAATTACGTCCCAGGAGCCACACCTATTGGCAGCAGCTTCTTTTTCCAAAATTATCTACAACACAGATACTAATTCGCCCAAAAGTTGTCTCCCGGCCTGTAATCCACGACCAATGTTATGACTGATATTAAGGATCAATAACAACCAACCTATTTATATACACTTTCCTTCTCTGCGGTTATTCTCCCACTCACCCAAACCTTTTCTGTCTTTTTATCCCTCTGCCACCCGCCCCACACTTCGGGATCCACTTTCTTCTACCTTCACTAGTGTTGCTCAAACTGATGCCCTTCAAGGTCCACCATCCCCCGGCCAACCCGACCAAAAAGGATGCAATTCGACCCATCTGGAAGGGAATACTCGCCGCTGTACCGACCTCGAGAGATCACACCAGCCTCCGTAAGCAGCGATCCTTCTCCTCCGGCCTCGCCCAGTTTCTGTTCCACGAAGCACGGCAAATATATACTGCAACGCAATGCAATCTGCAGCGGTAAGGCCGCGCAGGTATTTAAAGGGGCGGCGCTTCTGCTGTCTCCCCGTTTCCTCGCTGCCAATTGTGTAATCCAAGCAATTTTCCCAACGTGGAAAGCCTGCCAGTTGTTGGCACCCAAAGGCGCATGCGCTCTGTTTTGCGTCTATAAACCACCGTAAAGGTGGTTGGTTGTTGTTGTTGTCTTTTTAAGATTCCTAGACTAACCAAAATTTTGTGGGATGCTCTTCTTCTCCTGAAAATGACAGGGATCACGTGACCAAACTCTGGCAACTGGGCTTGTCCGGGCGTGGAAAGTCAGTGAAATGAAGTCTGCTTTTTTCAAACTGGGTAACTTTAAGACGTCTTACACTTCAACTCCCAGAATTCCCCTGCCAGTTGAAAAAAAAAAACTTAACTCCTCAGGGAAAAGCCAAGAGGGCGGTGGGTGGGATACTTTGAGAAATCACGGTTGCCAAGGAAGAGCGGAATGAATGCTGCTCGGATCTTGTTCCTTCCGGACTTCTTCAGAATTGGGCTTTTCCGGCGTAGATCACAGACATGCGAAAAGGCTGTGGAAGAGTTGAACAGGCAGTTCCTGTTTCCGGTAAATGCGAGGAAAGGGTGATTTTGTCGGTGCTGGGAAAAAAATAGCAAGGAAAGGTTTCTTGTCATGGCGCTGGGGAGGGTGGCGGTGCGACATTGGATTCGAAGTTGCTCTTTCCTGAAGACCCGTTTCTTTTGCGAGGCTTCAAGAATAAAATCTGGCGGTAGCCGTCAACTTTCTTCAGGCCATGGAGGAAAAAGGGGAGTCGAGGTATGACCGTTGTTATAGGCGCCGCCCTTCTTATCCTCGCCTGTGCAGGGCCCGAGTTTGTTCTGGCATAGGAGAAAATGATGGTCTTGGTTTGGTCGGAAAGCACGGCTCTCTTTTTTGGCTCCAATTTGGGGATGGGGACATAAGCACAAATTTCTCGTTTTTTGTGACACTGAAAATAAAACCTTTTTTTTTTAAAGAAAAGCACGGCTCTCTTAAATGTTTTTTTTTAATCTGCCCTGGTGTGAATTACTCCTTCAGCTTTAAGCGCTACTCTTCTTCGACCTTCTTCAATATCCCATATCTCAGTTACCACTGAATAGGATCCTCCAGCGCCCCAATCCTTTCATGAGGAGGAATGATTCTCAGCAGCCTCTCTTGGGGTGAATGCAGAAGACAGGCTGAATCTCAGTGGATGAAATGGTCCTATGTTAACCTCTTGAAGGTTATGGTTTGGGACAACCATGATCAGCCAGACAAGGAATAATGGATGGAAGCTGAACAAAGAGAGATTCAACCTGAAAATAAGGAGAAATTTTCTGACAGTGGGCGCAATTAATCAATGGAACAGAAGTTTCCTTCGGAGGTTGTGGGAGCTTCATCACTGGAGGCTTTCAAGAAGAGATTGGAGTGTCATTTGTCAGAAATGTTGTAGGGTCTCCTGCTTGGGCAGGGTTTTTTGACAAGATGACCTACAAGGACCCTTCCAACTCTGTTAATCTTACCTTCTAATTTGCTGAGTAGGAAAATCAGAAAAATTAAGTTAATAGACCTATCATTTTTCTTTGAGAAAAAATGTATGGCATTTTGGGAGTGTCTATGGAGATTGTCAGTCATCCAGGTTCATGGTTGTCCCAAAGGTGCTTTTTCAAGAGGCAACTGGACTTTCTGATTTTTCTTTGAAGACTTTTCTTTAGAGTTGAAGAAGCTTCTTGGATGAGAAGCAAACTGTCTTCAAAGAAAAGCCAGAAAGTCCAGAAATTCCACCTTTAGCCACTTTGTGAACATATATGCTTAGATTTTAAAAAATGGTATCAGATTTGTAAATAGTTATATTGATTTTTTTTATTAGGCATTTCAAAAATCCAGAATTTTCAGAAGAGGGTTTATATTCTCAGCATTGTCCTACCTGGGATACAACACTTATCTAGTAATCTCTCAGTCTGCTATGGTTCGTGCTGATGTGAAAAGTAAGAATTGTTTTTTCTAAAAATGTACAGTTGTCAAATCCAATCCTCTATTCCTAAAATATAATCTGATTTTTTTTTAGAGGAAGGATTAAGTATGGCTACTTATTTTTTGCTTGTTTTTTCTCTCTGTTATCCCTTTATAGATCAAATTTGTAAATCCATACAACTCAATAGAACTCTAGTGGGATACAGATTATATAGTATAGGGATGTCAAATTTAAGGCTGGATGTCAGGATCCAGCCTGTGAGTGTTTAATTCTGACCTGCAGTGCCAGCCTGGAAATAGCAAAACACCGGCCTGAGGTGCCTCTGGCAGTCAAAATGGGGCATGGTAAGGGGCGCATACTCCCCCCCCCCGCACCCCATTTTTGGCTTGGATGGCCTGCAGCAGTCTGCGTTCCCCCCCCAACAGCCTGTTTTGGCCGGCAGGGTGCTGCAGAAGACATCCATCCCATCTCCCCTCCCCCCACCCCAAGCAGGTCCTGCCAGAGGAGAACTGCACTGCTGAGCTGACACCCCTTTTTTAATACAATACAAAACAATGTGATAACCAGGGAAACAACATACCTCAATAGAAAACACATACTCAGGTGACTCCTACTCCACCTTACCCTAAGGCCTGGAGGAAAAGCCAAGCCTTCAGTGTCCAATAAAAGGGTAACAAGATCAAAGTTATGTGATCCTATGGGGAATATCAAGAGGCCTAGCACCGAAGTGACTCAATGAAGAAAAATCCATATATTCAGCCTTGCAAATATTTAGATTCTAATTTTGTTCTCTAAAATGAAAAAAGAATGAAATATTATTTCAATCAGTATTTTAAAACCCTGAAGGTTTAAGGAATCTATTTTACTCTTCATACCCTATACCGAAGAGGATAGTTGGAAAATATTGGATCCATCTTCAGGAGATCTTGGAAACTGCAAATAATTTTGCGGACTATAATTTTGTATGCTTTCTATGAGAGCTCTTAAATAACCTTGAAGCTCAGGAATTAATTGTATATTTAAAGTAATCAAATAGAAGGACTTTACTTAGAAAAATATTGATGAGATGAAAAAGCTGTCATAAAATGATTATTGAGATGAAGATGGGCATATGTATCAAATTCTACAGAATTTGCTGCCAATGCATATAAATTGGATTTTGCATATTTTATTTGTTTACAAAATTTATATTTTTGTAAATACTTACATAAAATCATATTTAACATATTAACATATTCCTTCTCTAGCTGACTTTGGCCTTTTATATATCGTCTAATACTTATATGACCTACATCCTTTGGGGGTTTTGTGCCAGTAAAACTCATCTAACTTATCTAAGAGGACATAAATTGGGAAAGATTAGACTAGATCAGTGTTTTATCTTGTAATCTTATATCTCTTTGACACTGGCTCAAAAAGAGGGGTAGTTGTTGGAAACACTTCCTGTTAATAGAATCAGCCTAACAGTATCATATAGAGCTGTTGATAGAAAAAAAGAAATGTGTTTTGACTATCATGATGTTATTTCTATTAAAACTGTCTTCTATTCCTAACTCGAAATACTAGTATGTCTGTGTGCATTATGAATTATTTTTATATTAAGTAATACCTGCTTCACAGATGGGCAGATTCACTGAATTCTTGTTTTATTATATCATAAGTTAATGAAATCCTAGATCAAGCAGACTATCTCTATGGAAGTGGAGAAACTGAAAAGCTTTATCAGTTGCTGAGTGAACACAAAAACAGGTACAGTATGCTGTTTCGGCATGCTCTAATGAACTGAGGTTGGCATAAAGCGCACAGCAATGATACAAAATCACTAGATACTGTAGATGGAAGAGTTGAAATCAGAATTTTAGAATACATTATAATGGACCTTTTAAGTCTTTTTACTCTCATTTAAAAAACAACTTTTTCTTCTAATTGCTTTCAGTGGAAAAGAAAACACTCAAAATGAAATATTAACACATCAGTGCATGACACTATAATAATGATAATGAGCAATAAAACAGTTTGAAGTTCTAAGATCATTTTTTTAACACATTTAGCAGATTGGGAATGTACGGTTCATAAAAACATTCTCTTTGGGTAAATTTGAATATCCCCAACTTTAATTTTTGGAGTTGATTACACTTGTAGAATACCTCTTCTTTCACTAGATATAGTTCACCATAAAATACTAAGTTAAAATTATTATAGTGTCATGCAGTGATGTGTTATTATTAAGCTACCTTTATATTATTTTATATAAAGTTATCCCATAGAACTATTTGGTAATTAAAAGTATAATAAATATGTCTTTACATTGATACCTTACTATGGTACATCATAATCAATATATCCTATTATATATGTTAATATGTAGTGAAAATGCACAAGTGTTATGGCGTCTGGCACGAGCTTTACGAGACCTTGCTCAGCTTAGTCAAACTTCAGCAGAAAAAAAGAAGCAGCTGGCTTATGAAGCCCTTGATTATGCAAAGAAGGCACTTGAGAAAGACAACAATTGTTATTGTGTACACAAGGTCAGATAAACAAATAATTTACATTTTATAGTGGCTCATTTCTGAGTTTAGGAATTTGAAAGGAAAATTGCAACAATTCCTTCATATCTTAAATGACAAACTCATACTCAATTAATTTAATTAGTATATAGCAATTATAATTTCAAACCAGCCTACCAAATGAATTGAAACCAGAAAGTTCCAGAAACTCTAGCTGCAGTAATATTTCTACTGACTTGATCACTTTAAAGTAGATACAATATTGAAAATATTGCAATGAGTGATCCATACCAAAGCATATTTAAAGGCAAAACAATGCAGAAGTAGCTGCATGGTCTCAAGTAAAGATTCAGTTGCGTTAAAAGATGACGATACATATAACTTGGGTGACCCTGCATACCCCGCAACACCCTTTTGCTTTTAAAACAAAATTGTTGCATAGTGTAAGATAAATTATAGAAGTGTAATTGAACTAAGTTATTGCCAGTTATTTTTGAGTTCAAATTTTAATTTTAAAAGCCTAGGTTGGCTTAGACAGTTATAGCTAGCAATGTCCTGTTTGAATATGAACCTGTCTAGACATTAACATAGAATTTCTTTTAAATGTCTATTTTTTCAGAGCCCTGTCTGAATGTAGGATGTGGGAAAGTTTCTTCTTCACTCTTCCAAAAATATTCTCTCAGGACTTTTATGTAATCTCAACTTGCTTTAAAACCTCCTTCAGCTTGGCCTTGTAAGAAATTGTATGCCATTCATTTAGTTTTAACTATAGTTCATTTTAGACAGTTAACCACCTAGCATTCCCTGTTGACTGAAGCTTAAAATAACAAATCTTTGTGTAGTATGGTTAGAACTGTATTTATTGACAATATGATAATAATTTAATCCCTAAATATTTCATATTGCTAAATAATCTGTTTTATTCTTTTTATTAGTGGTATGCAATATGCCTCAGTGATGTGGGAGATTATGAAGGAGTAAAGAGCAAAATCTCCAGTGCTTTTGTTATTAAGGAACATTTTCAGGTATTTCAAAGTTATTAACTTTTGTATTAACCTTAAATTGTGTCCTCTGCCACACAAACCTGAACATGAGGGAAGAGCAATTTATGATGAAGAATAAATTAGAAACTGAAGTGTTTTTAATTGTTGAATTATATATGAATCATTGATCTCATTGTCTTCATTAATAAGGAATGCTTAAAAATATTTTAATGGATTTTGTGTAACATAGAACATTTTGGTTACATATTACAAAAAAATGTAACATTTTTGAAGCCTACATTGGATACATTTAAGTATTAAGAAACCAAAGGATAATTGGTTGTCTCTGAAAAGTCATGATAGGCATGAGTTTAGAATGGTAGTCCTTCATGTTTCAGAAGTCTTGCCATTCTTTTTTCAGAGGCAGTAATTTATGTTTGCTGCATGCTTGCTGAGGGACACAGTTCTAGTCCCAGAAACTTGAAGACTTCTGTACTCTACCATTGGATTTTGCATTTTTATCCTTTTCAGTGTAGTTAAACTTCTTTGTTTAAAAGGGGGGGGGGGTTGAAATAACAAACACAAAGAGCAGTTTAAACTTTTCAGTGTGTCATTACATGAAGTAGGAAATTAACATTTCATTAACTTTTAAAATATAGAGCAGAAAAGGTTCACTAACTCAATTTATTTCAGTTTATTTGGCCATTTTCCCCCTTTAATCCATGCTTTAAATGATGTTCATGTATAGCTTGCATTCTGTTCACTGTAGCTCGGCCATATTAAAAATATGGCCACATTTTAAAAATTCACTATTTCTAAAGGTCTTGAACTTTTCCTGCATTAGAAATCTTTGTGGTCCATTTCTCTTAAAGTACATAATAGTTCAAGTAAACTCTATGAGGATAGGAAATTACCTGTGTCCTTGTTAATAAGCTCCTCCAAAGTGGATAAATAAGTTAGGTGTAAAATTGTTTCAGTTTTCATCCTGGAGGTGAGTTTTGCTGTTCCTGTGGTATCAAAATATAATAAACTACATTCTCTTTTGGAAGATGTACTTCTGAGAATACACAAACCACTCTGAAATACTTGAATTAGGTTGTTGCAGGGTCAGATATAAATCCTAGTGAGCACCTGTTGAATATTGCATATTCCTGATTATAATTTCTTCAGTGTTTCCTTTTTCCTTCAACTACATGTTTCAGGATATTTATGTTTTCAAATATAGTTTGGGAAGCTTGAACAGAGAAAGTTAGATGCTAGAGGACTTAGTGGTAGCTTTCAGAATGTACATCTTAACTATACAAGCCATAGACATGTGGACTAAATATTAAGGATATTTCTCCCTAGACCATATGAAATTCATTACTTTTTTCAGACAAAAATATGCAATGCTGTAATTTCATTGTTGCTAAGAATTAGGTAAGTGGAAAGGTAGGAGTTATGGAGGTAAATATTAAACAATGATAAAGAAATGCTTTTGCTTTGTTTTTAACAGAAAGCAATTGATCTGAATCCAAAGGATGCTACCTCACTTCATCTTATGGGCATTTGGTAAGACGATCTTTCTAAACAAAATTATATTTGAAATGCCAACATTTTTGCCTGATATGTGGAATGTGAAATAATTACACAGTGCTTTTAATATTTAGCAATATATTTCTGAACAAATGAACTACCCTATCAGCATTGTCTTACATAACATTATATATACATTTCAGCAATATGTCTTCACTAATTGTGAACATTGTATTTGCATTTGATTTATCCTCATTTCCTTCTAATTAAACACCAAACTTACCCCTTCCCACTCTACTCTGTTAAGCATATTGATTTAGTGGTTTCTCAGTCATTATTTAGAAGATATTGTCAAGGAGAAATTTACTTTTTCTATATTTGATCCCTGAATAATTTAATTCAAGGATAAGCAGCGTATGGCTCTTTTGATATTTTATTATGTGCCCTCAATCAGTGACAACTCTTAACAACCACATAGATAACAATTGTTAACAATCACATAGATTTTCTCCATGACAATCTCCTTCACTTAGTCCTTCAGGTCTTAATGGTATATTCATTCCCACTGTAACTTGATCCAGTGATCAGTGGATCAATAATGGTATATTCATTCCCACTGTAACTTGATCCAGTGATCAGTGATTACTAAATTTCAACTTCTTTTTTTTTTTACTATTATAAAATTTTTATTAACCATTTCCATAACATATAATCACATGTAAATTATTACCTAGACAATATCATGTTATAAGAGAGGACAATATACATGTGCAATCATCTTGCTTTAAAATCAAGCCTAGTATTCTTCCCCCCCCCCGAGCCCCCACAACCTTCCCCCCCGAC